TTATTATATTTTTAGATAATCTAAATATATATAATATTGAACGTATTTATTAGTATACAATGTTTATACATGATTGCATATCACTTAAAACTATAAATTCTCCCGAGTATCGATTTCTATGGTATTTGATTTTGTTCTCATCTATTTTTAGATACACGTTGCTTTGGCCCTTAAAATTTTAATCTACTACTAATAATACTAAATCAAGAATTAATAGAACTTTTTTTTTAAATATTTTAAAAATTAGATGAACGATTTTCAACAGATGAATCAAACATTGCATTTATATGATTTAATATATATATATATTTAAACATAATACCTAGACCTAGGACGAGATACATTAGCCAAATAATGCAGGATGCAAGAGTCACTTTTTACAGGGAACTGAAGAATATGGCGAATGATAGAGAAAAATGGAGAAACCATTTATTGTTAAACATTTGTTAAAAACCAATCATCGGATTGAAAAAAAAATGCATAATACAATCATTCTTTTTACACAATTACTTAACACTTAAAAATTATTTCGATTTTCTTCATATTTAACATTTAGAAAAATAACTATACTAGTATATTTAATATATGGTAGAACGATTTAAAGTATGTATTTAATATTGTAGTATAGTTTAAAATCACAAGCCTTTACATAGTTAATACCATAGATTTTGGTGTGAAAGAATAATATTTGGAAGGTAATTTATACTGAATGATATCGTTTGATGAACCCATTCAATATATTTCATATCCAATTTAAAATTTAACAAGTGTGAATTAAACCATATAGCGTCCTAATACTATGTTGAAGACTATCTTCTAAGACTGTGTTTTTCATAATGTACATTTTACCGGATTTGGATAAAATTTACGAACTTTTGAGTTTAATAATCATCATCGTTAAAACGATGAAAATTATGCAACGATTGTCACTTTTATGACAATACATCATGATCTAAAAAATAAAGATCCAATAACTATAAACGATACCAACTTAACATTCTTCGAAATACTCCCTACTTAGCACAACCCTAGAAAAATCAACGCATCATTCAGTTAGCTTCGAAAACTCTGGAATATCCTAACAAATTCCTAAATCAGAATTGTTCTGAGTTCTGATTTACCTTCAGTAAATAATCCAAACAAAATACAAGTCAATCCAGATTTCAAAGCAGTAAGTCTTTTCCGTTTACATAAAAACAAATCCACAGATTAAAACCAATAATATTTAACCAAGCATTTTTTTTTACATAAATGTATTATTGTGATACTTTTATTTGTTCTGTACATTTGTTCGTTACACTTTTTTATGTGTAAAGAAATACTTACTATGAATCTATGACTATATATTTTTCTTCGTTAGAATGATATTTCATTTTACAAGATTTTTTTCAAATTATTGTTTCATGTATTGTACATGAGAATGTATTTCGTATAATTAATTATAAAACTATTACTTTGAGTTCTTATTTCACAGATTAGATAAGAAGTTTGATCATTTTTTCTTCTACATAGTTATGTCAATAATCGATTGAGTTTTATTTACCCGTTTGGATATCCAGATATATTTGGATATATTTTTTGCATCCTTTGGTATCCGTTTAGATCAATTTAAATAAAAATAAATGCAACTTAAAAAATTAATATTTTCTCGTACATAATTCTGATTTTCTTGCAATTGAGGTTCAAAGAGAAGAAATTAAATACTTGAGCTCAGTTATTATGCGTATAAATTTTAAAATATTAATTTTTTTGTGCCCTGTAAATAGTAACTATTTGCGACACAAATGATTTTTAATTCAATAACGAACATAAATTATTATTTTTGTTTGAATTCGGTGTCATATTTATGCAAAGACAAATAGTATGTTTGCAGGACCCACCGATAATAACCAAACAATATTAGTTGTATGCTTATATAATTTCGGAGAAATAAAATTGTGATAGATTAACAAAAACTGGATAAATATAGTTTTAAGTACATTAAATTTATATTTTATTAGAGACACGTAATTATTAATTGTACAGAGTGGGTATTTTTGTTTGCAAAAGTGTACAAAAGAATTTGATAATATTTGTAAGAAAACCATACTTTATATGTTTATAGTTAATAAAAAATATGACATATGTTACTGGTCATCTGTATTCAACAAGAGTCCTTTGTTTTCAATTTTCACAGCAACATTTATTGAAATTACTATTTTCGATCGAATTAAACGAAAATTACATAAATCATTATAAAAAATAAATACAGTTTTTTTTCAAATTGCTATCAAAAAAAAAAAAAAAAAATAACAATAATAATAATAACATAAAAAAAAATAAAAAAATTTAACACTCAAAATGCTTAGTAAAATTATAAACAACCAGTAGGTACTACACAAATACATACAGGTGATTTTACAAATGCTTATAGTTTGGCTAATCCAATAAATAAAAACAAAACACATTTTACACATCGCGTAAAACGTAAAAAAAAATTCAACAATATATATTATTGCTTAACCGTCTTTTAAAACCGTATTTATCAATTTATGGTTAGACTTGAATTATCGTAGAGCCTAGGCCTCAACATATCAACGGCTAAACAAGCGATGTGTCAATTGGTCATGTCTACCAGCACCCAGCTCTTTTTGGTGACCGACTAACACATCATCGGACTTCTGACAAACTCCTTCCTCCGTGCAATCGTTGTGGTCGTAAATCGAATTGTAATACAAACCGTTTACCGTTATAATGCTGATATTGGCACAGCTATCCATCGAACTTTCTTTGACTTCGATTTTTTGAAGATTATCCCCTAAAGTTAAAATCATTGTGACGGTCAGACAATACTTGAACTCGGTAGATGATGTTTAATGTGAAAAGAACATATACTTACTATATTTTTTTGCCCATCCCAACGTCTGACAGTGCAAGTACGGCCCCTCGTTTTAATCGTCGCTCAAGCACACCGACCGTATATGATTTATTATTATTATTATATATTATCATATTAATATGGTTTTATATTAGGTGTAATATTTTATTTTGGTTGTATAATATAATTATACTTGTTAAACAAACAGTAAGCTTTACAAAATTTTAAGAAATATCTCATATATTAAAAAGAACCTATAATAAGTATATTTAGGGTATAGAAAATATACTTCACAAAATGAAAATAAAAAAGTGTATTAGAATTTGTAATAATTAATAAAGATGTGTAGTTCATGAGTAGTGAATTTAATGAATTGAATCAGTGCATCGTAAATCAGCGAGTCGGCAATTCAGTACCAACACCGAATTGAAACAACTGAACTATAAGCCTGTAAATGAGTTTAATCAGTCAAGTCACCAATTCCAAATCTGAAATTATCGTTTTATCAATAAGTTCAGTGTAATACTGTCGCACGGATAATAATTTAATAGATGAGCATATTATACCTTAAGTGATTAAATTTCTTAGAATATTATTTTTATAAGTGTATATTTTATCATTATACATGTATACCAAACAACATTATAATGATTTGTAATTATAACTCATTTACCCTGCCACATTAATAATATAATGTGACATTATAAACTTATATATTATATATTTATATTCTTCTACTTTGGGTGCCTATCCGATTCTGAATGTTGGGGACCTTTCCAGCAATGCTCTCTCTTTGGTTTATCGTTGCTTAAAAATTAAATTAAATAACATATGAAGGGCCGTCTTAGGGTATGCAGGGGCTCATACCTTAGCTGACCTTCTAGTAGGAAAAAAAAATAAAATGATGGGTTAAGAAATGAGATACTTAATGTAATTGCACATAATTAAGCATTCATTATTTATTTAACTCTTTAAAATTACAATTCACCTAATTTTTTTTTTTATAAGCTATCGTATTAATACGTTACAGCTTAAATTTAAAATTATAATTTCTATTATTTGGGGCCCCCCAGCAAGATGGGCACGTACCCACTAGCCCATATGGTAAAGACGGAACTGATCATATATATCCTACTCTCCCTTACAAAAGTGGCTGTACCCTTCAACAGCGTTTATATTATATATACAATGAATTTATATTTAAAATTTTAATACTTAAAAAATAATCTTTTCCATTAATGAGTACCTAAATACTAAATATTAATCTTGAAAACTTAATTTAGGTTTGGTTATTAATAAAGTGACAACTGTGAAAATTGATGAGTGATTACAAATCAGCTGAAAAATATGTTATTTTAAAATTTAATAGATTTGATTCGATTCATTAAGATATAGATTCAAACCGTGACTTGGTTAAGATATGATTTGACTTATCAATTGTGAATTGATGAATTAACTCATTTAAGTGAATTGAATTGATTCATAATAAAGTGAGTCATAATTCCCATCTCTAATAATTAATATTATTTTTAGTGATAACAAACTTAAAATGATAAGAAAACCATGATAACTACCTATGGAAAACAGCTCGCGTTGCTTACGTTATGGACATATAAAATAATTATTTTATATGTTGTTTCATACAATCTAAGCACAGATATATTAAGATATATATACATCTAATGATCTATAAATGTTTATGAATCTAAATTTTTCACGAAGTACGACAGTTATTTTCAATACTAGTTATAGATGACAACAGATCTGAACCATATCCGGTTGAAAGTAAAAAATATATATAAATATTGATATTGTTTATAAATACTTGATATTATTCTCTATACTCGAAAGTAATTTTTGCAACTATATGAATGAACGAAATATGTTTTTTACACTATAGATCGTTTCAATGTGTACGAGAATCGCATGCTCGTGAAAAATCATTTAACATAATACTCTTTGATAAGTTATCATATTTACAACCTCACTGCTCAACATATGTTTATTATTTTATTTTTTTCATAGGAATCTTACAAATTTCTTACTTATCGTGTCGGTCAAATCCCGAAATCATTATTCACAACTCGCTGTGTTTGTGCTAAGTGAACTTATTAAAGACGATCAAATTTTGAAATCTCCGACAATGTTTCCTAATATTGTAATGCGTGCATGTGGCAAAATGTCCCGTGGCGTCGTAGCCATCCGACAACAACCAACAATCAAACCGATCATGGCTGTTTCGAACAGGTAATACTATGCCGTTTTTCCATTAAAAAGTTTGGTAATCATGTAAAATTAACATTATATTTTGTTAGATTTATGTCGTCGCATAGCGTAGAGGAAACTGATGAAGAATTCTATTCCAAATATGAAGCATACTTCAATCGTAGCGATATTGATGGTTGGGAAACTAGGAAGGCCATGGCAGATTTAGCATGTCAAGATGCAATCGCCGAGCCAAAAGTAATAAAGAAACATAGATTATTTTTTGTTCATTATGGTATATTATATATGACAAAATGTTTTTAATAGGTTATCATTGCTGCATTAAAAGCTTGTCGCCGTCTTAACGATTATGCATTAGCAATAAGGTTCCTTGAAAGCGTTCGAATTAAAAGTGAAATTGATAGCAGTATCTACCCTTACATATTGCAAGAAATTTGTCCAACTCTTGAAGAATTAGGTATTGATACACCTGAAGGTCTTGGATATGACAAACCAGAATTAGCATTAGATGATGTTGACCACATCTATTAATTTATGATTATCTAACCGCTGGTTTTTTTGTTCTACCAGTTAAAATATGTAAATTAGATGGAATATTGTTGATTTGTGTTGATGATAAAAAAAAAAAAACATTAAATCTTAAATCGTAGTCAACATTATTTTTGTTTTTTTTTATCACTATATTATGGATAAATATATCTTATTTTGGAATATTTTCTACTAATTTTATTTCCATTATATTTTAGTGTTTAGTAGACTTGAAACTAATAAAACATGAAAAATGTTTTCTAATAAAATAATATTAGTTTGTAAATTTTTTGGGGCTTTGTCTCGATCATTAATATGTTATTATTTTTTTTCATATTGCAATATTTCAAAATTGTATTGATCATTGAATGCTGTTACCTCATGGAATGTATTCTATAGAATTATAAACATTGTTTATCTATATAAATAGTTTAAAACAATTGTTCCGCTTCTGTCCCTATGTATACTTAGATCTATAAAACTACACAATGGATTTTTAATGCAGGTTTTTTTAATTGATAGAGTGATTCAAGAGGAAGGGGCAAAAAGAGAAGACTGATGACTTAAAACCTAAGAATGTATTATTGTATTATGCATGTGTGGTGTATTTCCAAGAAAATAATATTACATTATTATATTATTATTTATTGAACGGAGTTAATAGTACTTTGTACAGAAATTATAGTCAAGTCTGGAAGACGTTTGAACATAGGTCGTAGTACGGGTGATCATCTGAAATCCAAAAAGTTCATGCGCAATATACGCCGTTATAATAACACATTTCAAACAATCTCTTTTAGGAGTAAGCAAGTTGTTGAGCGTGATTTTATGCTTGCCTACATTTAGTACTTGTTATAGGCAAGTGTATCTCTTAGCTGGGAGATTGTTACCACATCGACTCGATGATTACAAATTTCTATAGATTAATTTTATTGCAGATCCAGATAAGACACAAATCTAGTTTAGGGGCTAAGCTCGTTTTCAATTTTTTTTTTCCCCAAAATGTGTGTTTTAAGACACTGAATTTGAATCTGTTTGAAAAAATTGCCGCTCTTTTATTACGGAAGTTATACCAAAAAAAACCGGAAAACTGTTGATTTTTTAAAACATCGTGGTTACCTCGATAAAAATAACAAAAATTGCATTTTTGGGTAATTTTTTTTTGAAAATGTGTGTTTTTGTACGCTTAGCTTTTGAGGTAATCACATTTTCCCTATCGTACTTACTGGTCGCACTTCAATGAATTGTCAGTTGCTATCAAGTTCCATGACTGTAATTTTTGAATCACAATTTGTGAAACTGGCCCATTGGTTTTGTATACAAACAACTCAAAGATATCGATAAAATTAAGAGCAGACATTTCGTAAGTTTTAAAACTACAGTATAACGTGACTTTACTAACAGTTATGACGAATTTCAGCAGGTACTTATGCGCAGTTTGTACGACAATAATTGTTATAGATTTATTGACCTAACTTTTATCTACGTATCCCGATTAACATAATTTTTCCGGGTTTTCTACGTATATATTATAAACACTTCATAATTGTTATCTTATCTTACGTATTTTTCAAATTATAATTGATATTATATATAATAAAAATGTAGTATATTATAAATAATTGTTGCAGTGACTACCTTGATTTCACTAATTTATATTCAGACAGACATGTTAACTGTTAGGGAACGTTTATAACATTGTTATAATTAATTTGTTTATAACATTGAGCGTTGCTTCGCTCCGCAGCTCCGTTCGCTTTGCTCACTTCGCAAAACTCCCCTAGCTTGCTCCGCAAGCTCGTATCGCACCCGCTCGGCTCCGCCGAGCGAATTCAAATCGAAAATATCCCCCGACTTGCTATGCAACACCACCTCAAGTAGGTCACAGGGTACATACTACATAACCACATAAGTTTCAAAAAAAAAAAAAGTATACCAAATACGTAAGTACAGAAAAATAACAAAAATGGTCCTCCGCGCGTCATTATAGTAGTGTTTCGCGTATGCGTATAAACGTCAAATCGAAAACTTTGGAAGGCCATAACTTCGAAACTAAACGAGAGCGGCAAATTTTGACTGTACCATCGTTCTTAACTCGATGAAATACATGATTTTCGATAAAAAAAAATTGAAAAAATCGCTTGGCCCCTAAACTAGATTTGTGCCCCAGATAATATCTGTGCGATGCCGGGGCAAGTCACTAGTTTACTATATTTTTAAATCGCTTTATAAAGTATTAAATCTTTAAGAAACACTAATATTCTATTGTTGGATTGAAGGTCCCAATTTTTGTGTTATTTGTCAGGGTACTTCATATTTGAAAATGACTATGTTACCAATACCATTGGCAGTCTTGTAAAGTATTAGAACAAAAGTATTTGAATACTATTCTAAATATAGTACATTAAAAATATATATTTGATTACGTATTCTGAAAACGTTTTTTTAATATTTTTATTTTATATTTAAACACTTAATTATATTTAAACTTAATTAAATAAAGTATTTATGACATTAAAATGTATTTAAAAATTGTATTTTGAGAAAAAAAAAATATTAAAAATAGTATTCTTGAAGTATCCGAATAATTTTTCAAGTTATTCTAAATATATTTTTTGAAAATTATTCGAATACGTAATCTTAATAACTTTTTGACTATTTATTCGATTATGTATTCTACATACTAAATAAAAGTATTTTTTACAAGACTGACTATGGGTAACATTACAATAACTATTATTGTTTAATGATACTTTCAATTTTGTTATGATTGGTTTGATTTGTAGTATAAATTATAAGCCTTCAAGTTTTTCAGTGATTAAAATCATGTTTAAACTACCAATATATAGTGTTATATTAATAAACAATTTATTTTATTTCACATTTTAAATAAAAATATTTTTTCTCCTTTTATTATGGGTGTCCTCGATCCTGTTACATCTTACAATTTACAGAATTTAAGTAATATTAAATATTTGAATTACTGATTCGTCTATGTGATGACTACATTGAGCATCAGGATTTTAAATTAAATAGATTAGCAATTAAAAAACTGAACTGTACTTTAATTATAACTGTTTATTATTAAAATTATGATTCTTTTACAATTTTATAAATGTACTAGATGAATACTAGATTACTAGATAATCTATTAGATAACTAAATATGAATACTAGATTCTATACTAATAATTCAATGGGTCAATTCAATAGTCATGTAGACTAAATGTTGTTAAAGTATCAACCTCAAAAAAATAATGCACAACAGGTCATATCCTTATTTCAGTGAGTTCGGTTTTTTTTAATGACTGTGAATTCATAAACATTTAATATTTACGACCTATATTAGGTATGTATTATATAGCATATGTTATAGGTACATGAGTTTGACATTTAGTACTTACGAATACCTATTGCTAAAAGTAATATGTATATCGAGTTAAAAATCTAAAATATGTTCTCGTTAGGTTAAATTAATTTTACTGTAGATATCAACCTATCTATCCATAAATCCATTAATGTAAAACTGTTAGTTTTTTCAAATCAAAATTTTACCAAACTTTGATTATATTTGAGAAATTCAAGCATTACTTGATACATAATATTTCATTTTTATTACAATAGGTATACAATATAATATGTTATTAATTTACAAATTTAAAAAAACAAAATCATATAGTAGAAGAAAAAAATTCAAGTGCATATTATTTGCTCAATTTCCATGCTGACTTAGTTATGTAATGCCCCTCAACCAAAAATATTAAATAAAATAATTTATATTTAATCCAAATTATACAGATTTGAATTATCCAGATCAAATGAAAACATTGGTGCCTACAATTCAAACAAATAACTCAATTAATAAACGTATAGTATTAGTAAAAAAACAATTAAAATATTTTACTATTCATAATTTTTTATTTTGTTCATAAAATACTTCCTTTTTTTTTATATTAATCACTAAGAATATCAAATGTTGCAAAAAAAGAAATAGATACAAAGAAAAATAAGAAAAATAATAGTCCATGAGTAAGTGAATTAAAATATGTTCTTATACCATATAAAATAAATTATTATACCTACTTACATAGGCGTCACTAAGGGATATCAAAGAGTGCCTTTGCTACCCCAAAAATATTTGTGGGGTATTAAGGGTATCTTTTTGTTACCCTAAAAAAAGTCATATATTTTAAAAATATATTCGATGTTTATTATTCAAGTGTGTACGAACATAGACTATCTATTAGGTATTGTAATTGTATCCAAAATAATTATATTTTGTGATAAGTCCAATACAGACGATAAGACAGTGTATACACTATACTTCATACCAAGATTTATGTAGAAGGTTTAGCAAGTTGTGTAAGCAAGTTGAGCCAATAAGCTAGTTATCATATTAAATCTATAAAAAATTATTTTCACTTTCTAAAAATAAAATTTGCTACCCTAAAATTTGGACTCTAGTGACGCCCATGCCTACTTATATAATGTTTGTATTACCGTCGCTAAATATTCCTTTATCAAACCGTCTATTAAAGTACATATTGAACAACTTGAGGTCATGCACAACTCCAACGCATCCCTCTATTAAATGTATTTGTAAGAAAAAAAACTGTATTATGATGGGTAGTTGTCAATACTGGTGTCAAATCAGTGCTTGATTTGAGGAGAGACGGAGTACCTCAACTAATTTTCAGAGATTTTAGCGTCCCCCTACTATTATTACGTTATAATTATAACGCTTAACAAGTCTTGGGGACGCTATTTTATTTAAAGTAAACAGAGTCCTCCTTCTTTATTTTTACCAAGTCGAGCACTGTGTCTAATACAATAATAAACCAACCCGCGTTTTGTAAAAAATTTTAACTCATATTTACAACCCGATAATAATAATTGAAAAATTATTTATTTCAAGTATTTTTGGCTCAATAGGTATATTATTTTTATATACTATATACCAAACCGACGATGAACGTTCGTTATGTGATGTATACAGTTCGTATACGAAGTTTTCGTACACATCACATAACCTGAAAGCGATTGCCTCTGTGAGGAATTTCAATTTTTGGGGAGATTTTTAGTTTAGAAATAATAAGAAAATCTATTCTTCTGTCGTCAAATTTACAAAATTAATTGTGCATATTAATATTGTATCATGACAATATCATTTTTCAGTAGAAAATCAAAAATCAATTCTGTATCCGCAGTAAAAATGTTAACAATCTTTAATATTCAAATTTTACCAATTATTGTTTAAAATCCGATGTGTGATATTCTAAAAGTCGTATTTCATATACTCAGTTCAAGTTTAATACGCACAGTCGTTTAGTGTAATTATAAAACCCGTATTAATAAGTCGTGCAAATGAAAAATAATTTAAAAAATATTTCTTTAAATATTTATAATTTGGTTTTATTGTACCACCAAGAAATTTCTTTTGTGTCTTATTTCCGGAAAAACATTTTGAAATTTTCATAATGATAACCTTACAGTCACTTGTAAGCATGAATAAACAAGCGTCATATGCTCTCTAGTTTTCACTGTATAATAAATATATATTTCTGATTACCTTTAATTCTGGAAAGTTGTTGGTGTACAATTTATAGTCTTATCTCTTTTTTTTTTTTTTTAACAAAGAAATATCTGAGTTTTATAACACTGTTTTTTACCGTACTAGCAAAAAATCAAGGGTGATTATACATTAATGGCGTTGCTAAAACTTTTTATAGGAGGGACTTCATACATGTATTCACATTTATATATTTTACTAGTAAGATATAAATTATAAAATTACAAATATTTGAAAGAAAAAAATGGCTATGAATGGGCGACTACCCCATGTCCCCCTCCCTGAAGACTAATCACAAAAATAATAAAAATTAAATCTTACTGTGTACCTATGTAGGTAATACAACATCAACATAATAATTAATATTATAAGTGAAATGTTCAAGTATGACACAGGGAAAAATGAAATGTTCTTATACAATTGAAATCGGTATATCATTGTTATAGAAACAATGATTTAGAGCTAAGGAGGTCCATCCGATCAGCATCTATGCCTGTAGATATTTTTGAATATTCTATACATCTTATATTTCTATATTACAGTATCAGTATAGTTATAAAATAATTTCGTTATCAAATTATTGAAACAGACTTTTACAAAAAACATCACATGTAAGTATAAATTTTGAACTTTTCAATAGTTTTTGTTAATTATATGGAAAACTGCTGAGAAAAAAATTAATCTTTTATCCAGATTTTACCAAATATGTTATAAGAACAATACATTTGTCATTTGATTCAAAATTCAATAATATAGAGGATTGAAAAAAATAAACGATACATTTAATCGGTGCGGTGTATACTGGAGAACTAATACCACCTGAACATTTTATGTTAAATAGAATACTCAAACTATTTAGCTACAAATTTATCTACTATAAATTATACGTACTGTTTCTTTTGTGTCAGCCGTGTCGTCTTCGACAAGATCTATAACAATCATTTTTGAGTTACTTGGTTTATGCATCTGTTTTGTAAATTCAATAAAAATTATATATTTATATCTTTCTTTCAGGTTTAAGTATTATATAATGTATGACCATGAGCTAAATATAAATTGAGTAGAATAATTTTCTGATGAATCACGTCTATAACAATCAGGCCCTGATTTATGCATGTGCAGGCGGTGCACTAGCACAGGGCCCCCAAATTTGAAGGGCCCCTTCGGCCTTCCTATTCTATACTTTGCTACCATAAATAAAAGATATTTTTAATAAGATTTAGTAAGTAGTAACTATAACCTATTTAAGGAGGCCGCAGCATGCGTAGTTTTCATACGGTTTACACTAATCACTAATAAGCCATCGATAGTTATATCAGTCGATGAGTTATCGGTCAGTGATAATACTAATAATACTCAATGATATTATCAATGGTAATAATGTTTATAAACAATAAAAACCACTTACCAAAAACTAAGACTTTTAAGTCTGTGATTTATTGTGGTTATTTATTATTTATAATGTCATCCAAAAGAAAATATGCTTCTAGATATGAAAAAAAAAAAGTTGAAAAACAAACGTGAAGAAGAAAACAAAAAGTTAAGCGGTTCACTATCAAAATCTGTTAACTGCTCTTCCTCTGAAACTATAGCCCCCAAAGTTAATAGTGCACAGGGCCCCTATTTCACTAAATCAGGGTCTGATAACAATATGGATAATATGATTCATGACATAGACCAAAATTACTAAATTAAAATAACGATGATAAAATACATACAATATAATATCTAAATATTTTAAATATGTACGTACTTATTTGCTTATTTACTCTTTTTATTTACTTATTTATTTATTATGTAGTTCTCTAATTTTGCTAATTAGATAAAAATAATTATCATTTTGGATATTTAAGTGATGTATTCGTTTTTATTGATAATAAAAACTCGAATTTTATTTTTATTCTAGTATAATATTTAAAATTTGAAACAAACAACTTTACCATAGATAATATTATAATATTACATTTATTCTGACTGTATATTAATTTTATTACGGAAAAAATCTTGATAAACCAGACCTAAAATTTCCAATCTTGTATTTTATACAACGGCGAACTAATTGAACTAATATACTAGGTAATTAGATGTTAATTTTTTAAACTGCATGTGTGCAAATTAATTTACAACAGTACACTTTATAAGATTTTAGCTCAGAATATTGTAAAAACCAGTGGCGTCATTTGGACCGCGCAGGGTATACATTTGCGTATTTCAAATCCATTATTGTAGTAATTTAGCCCACTTTATAAATTGATTGGCCTGAATAATTATTGATAGTAGTTTGCAGTCAATATATTTTATTTTTTAATTAATATTTTATTTTTCTTCTTATTTAAAAACAAAAACATGAAACATTACGTTACAAAATCATCAAAATATTCCTTATCGCAATTATTCGTAAATCGTTATCATGCAACATGTGTATAATTACGATAATTTAATTTTATTATCTATCAGCTTTTATTAACCATTAGCTGCTAGCCCATTAACAGTAATTCATATTTCATAATGATAATTTATTTTTGATAATTTAAAATATTAAAACATTACCTAAATAATATTCTATGTGTTGATATTTTATCTATAAATAAATTTGAAGATGCGTCGGTATCCTTTTAAAAATTAACAAAAAATATAATTGTAAAACTGTAAGTTGACTAACTGAAGTGTTTCTCAACCAGTGTGTCGCCGAGCAAGTCCAAATGTGTCGCGTGAAGTACTAATATTAAATGACAAAAAACATTATTAACACTATTAACTATTTACAAAAATTAATAAGTATTTGATATAATTTCCATGATAATAAAAATAGATTTTCAGCTATCGACATAAAATAAATTGTATTATTATCGTTGGGTTATTATTATTATCGTCATTTTGAACGATTAATCGCGCTCGAATCGCCTATTGTGTGTCATCTTAATTTATAAATGTTGGTTTTTGATATTTTCCTTTATTTTTAAACAGTGAATACGTATAGTATATTTATACTGAAAACATGCACCGTATCAATAACTCACTTTATTTATATGCTCAGTTGTCATTTACTTCTATAGTCGAATAGACTTTTTCTTAATTTATTAACAACAATATTTTTTTGTTACTAATTAAAATAAAATGGATAAATTTTTGATTAAAAAAATACAAGTAGTAAGAGAGAATACAGATGAAGACAATTTGGAAACAGAAAAAAAAACTCGTCATCTTCTATAAATGCATCGTCAAGTTTTAAAGAAATACAAAAAAATCCTTCTTAAAAATTCAAAGGTAAATATCGTCAATACAATAAAAATGATTTAAAATTAGGATTTTTTTGGGTCGGCGACGAACATTGTCCTATTCCTTATTGTTTTATTTGTGACGAAAAATTGTCGAATGAATCAATGGTTCCCAATAAGCTAACCCGCCATTTCACCACAAAACATCAATCGTTACAAAATAAACAAATTGATTATTTTCGAAGACTATTAGATTCAAAAAAACTACAATCAAAACAATTTGTAAGATCAGTGAAAATTTCGGATAAGGCACAGGAAGCTAGTTTTCGTATCGCCCAATTGATAGCTCAAAAAAAAAAATCTCATTTAATTTCCGAGAGTCTTATTATGCCAGTTTGTCGTATTATGGTAAAGACTATGTTAGGAGTCGAAGCAGAAGAAGAAATAATTAAAATACCATTATCTGATTGTACAATTAGTTGTAGGATTATAAATATATCAGAGGATATTGAGGATCAGGTTATTGAAGTTATAAAAAGTGGAGAATTATTTGCCTTGCAAGTTGATGAATCAACAGACATAAGTGGGAAAGCTCAATTAATGGCATTTATTAGATTTATTGAAAATTCAAAAATAGTTGGTCAGTTTTTTTTTTGTAAAGAATTATCTGGGACAACAACTGGTCGAGATGTTTTTGATGTCATAAATAAATATTTTAAAAATTATGGTATATTGTGAACTTGTGTAAGTATTTGTACAGATGGGGCGCCATCAATGACAGGCTCTATTAAAGGATTTATTACAATTGCCAAAAATCAAAATCCAAATATATACATAACACAATGTTTTTTACACAGGGAGGCATTAGTAGCAAAAAGTATTGTTAATGAATTAAAGATTGTACTTGATCAAGTTGTAAAAATGGTGAATTTTATTAAAAGTAGACCTCAACAAATTCGATTATTTTCCCAGTTATGTGAATCAATGGAATCTGACCACTATACATTGATTATTCATACAGAAGTACGTTGGTTATAAAAAGGGCGAGTTTTATCACGTTTTTATGAACTTAGAGAAGAACTTTTAGTATATTTTACAATGGAGCAAATGGAATATTCCGATTATTTATCCGATGAATTTTGGTGTTCAAAATTAGCATATTTAGCTGATATTTTTGAACACCTGAATCAATTAAATTTAAGCATGCAAGGTGAAAATCAAAATTTATTTATTAATATCTACAGACAAAATGGCTGCATTTAAAGGCAAATTATTGATTTGGAAAAGAAGGGTAAATGATAATAATTTGGATATGTTTCCTTTAACTGCTAATACTAAATTTACTGATAAAATAATACCAATTATCAATGACTCATTAACATTATCGGACCAAAAACTTGATCATTATTTTTCATCGCTGGATTTGAAATTATTTGATTGGGTGAGGAATCCATTTAATCCTAGTTTAGAAACCTCACATTTTTCATTAAAAGAGGAAGAAGAACTTGCAGAATTAAAAAACGATCGCACTTTTCAAATGAAATTTAATGAGCTCGAGCTAAGCCAATTTTGGATTTACACAAAAAAAGAATATCCGAACTTAACAAAATTGGCTCATTCTGTATTATTACCATTTTCGACATCATATTTGTGCGAGGTAGCTTTTTCTGCTTTGAATGAAATTAAAAACAAAAAAAGGGAAAGATTAATTAATGTCGAAGAGGAGTTAAGAGTCGCCCATCGAAGATTTCACCACGAATTGATACATTATGTAAGAAATATCAGTCACAAATTTCTCATTAAAATGCTGTTTTACCTATGTTATATTTTTCTTTGTTGTTTTATATATTATAATTGATTATATATTATAAGTTTATATATTATTAACTAATTATAAATATTTAATACTATTTATTATTCTTATTTTTTTTATTATGTGTTGCAAAGTATGAAAAATTTTAATAGTGTGTCACCATTATACAAAGGTTGAGAAACACTGCTGTAACTGTACCTAATAAACGCTATATTACAATATTTATTATCACCTCTGACTTTACTGCTTTTCTTAATTAAATGATTTAGTAAATACTATTATTATTATATTGTCATTAATAAATGGTAAAAATTTTATTATTTTATTTTTGTTATGTTGAAAATTTTAGATAGGCTTAGTGGCTTGTTCTATACGCCATGCGTATTAAAAAAAAAAAATTTTAATGACGCTACCGGTAAAAACAAAATTTACAGGAAATTTATGGGATAAGTTTACTAATTTTTTCTAGATATATTTTTTAAATTATAACTGATTTTATAAAACTAATTTAACATTTCAAAAAAAGTAGAAAGAATTTTTGACAGTTTTGAAGCACGAATTATACTCGTAAATGAATATTAATTTGCCTTAAATCGGTTGTTTTTTTATCGGTTAAATATTTTTGATGAATGTATAATTTTCAAGATAGATTTCTTTTCGTAGACTTTTTTTATTTTTTCATTTATCAATTCCACGAGGACTTTCGTCGTACAGTTAGGGCTGAGAGGGCTTGGAGTGGGAGAAAAAGCACAAAGCTATAGAAACGGTCCGGTGCCCAAGCGCTATATTGTCATATCGTTTTCAATATATATATATATATATATCGTTTTGGCATATCTGACGGCGCAGCGGTGGGATCGTTGAGACGGGTGCGGAAAACTGTTCGGGCGGCGGCGTTTTGAATATTCCAACGCAGAGAGCGATTCCCACGCCGGCCATATATCACGCTTGCGCGCGGGAGGCCGAAGAACGCGCGATTTACTGACGGGGAGAAAGGGGTGGGGGATCGTGCACGTCATGCCGCCCTCCGTGGCCAGAGATTCACGCCGTTTCGGATTGCTATTCCCAGATTGAATTAAAACGCCGTTAAGTCCGTATCGTGCGGGATTTACCCTACATTTTTTAACACACCGAGTAGTATTTTGTACACACGTATTTTTATGCACGTGCGTATGTACTTTTGTGGTAGTACGAGTGCGCGTTAGTTTATGTGCGGGCGGGTGTGTATGCGCGCGAGTGTGTTTACGGTTAGGCATAACCGATGCGATGCGCACTGCATTCTATACACACAAGACGAGAGATGTTATAAACGATCGTCGTACTTTACGATATTATAATATTTATAATATCTGCACGACTGCACGAACGTGCAGGTATAGTCGAACGATAGTATTGATATTACAAGTAACAACAGTAGATATACTTTTTTTTGTAAGTCCTGTTTTTCTTTTTACTCGATATAAACGTATAATTAATTACAAACGGAAATTCACAACCATTCTACACAAACAAGTTAAACGTAATAATATACAATAGTATTATAATAATTAATAATAATAAGAATAATAATAGTCGTAATAATACAAATAATTATATAATATCAATACAAATAATAATCATAATAACAAAAATAGTATGATTTTTTATAAAAGATTAAAAAAGAAAAAAATTCTAGTCTATACGGTACAGTTTTTTTAAGAGCTTTCCATCGTATAGGTAGTTTAACAACCATATTGTTCATATATGTGATTGCTAATGTGTTTCTTTTTACCTATATTTGCAATTATTTGATAACATTTTTAAATTTAGAGTACCATTAAGTTGTATACGTCTGCTTACATTATTACATTAAGCACACAAATAAAAGCATCAGCTAACCAAATATCCAAGTCGTATAAATAAATATCCATATATATAATATTAAAAAATGCATGGTTTTGAAATTATTATTGAAGAAACGTTAGGTTTAAATGGATTTCTATGTAAAAATAAAATTATAAATATTACAGTATTTTAAGAAAAACTTAGGTAATAAAAATAAACATATTAAATTAATCTTTCACATTACATCGTTTTTTTTCTTTAATACTATTTACTACTGTAAGTTTTTAATCTATATGTAAAATATATTTGTTTATAAATCTTAATCATAAAAGTTTCTTGATTTACAAGAGGACACTGTACATTTATTTAAATTATTCAACGCGTAAAAATATTATACCGATGAGACAATATATATATATACTTTACATATTTTCTTTGAACTACTTCGAACTGTAATCTCATGTATACAATTAAATTTATATAACTATTACAACTTTTTTTTTTATTATTTTAAAAAATTCATACGAGTAACCAATATCGCACATTTAAAATTACTATTGATGTGAATTATCATATCAGACAAATTTAAATAATATCATATTACCGTAAAAGTCTTTTTAAAATAAGTTAGAAATTTGTCATAAACAAACTTTATAAAATCACTATATAATATATAGTAAATAACTAGAGGTAGTCGTTGTTAAGGTTGTAAATGAGGTATAATATTTTACGTGGAATTAATAATACATTAACGATATCATTAAAAATCAGAAAAGTAATAGTATTCATTGAAATCAAAACACTGTTATCATATATATATATTATAATGGAACAAGAAAAGTACAAATATTAATTGTTTATACAGTTATATAGAAACGATGTTTTGAATTTTAACCAGAAGAATTAAAAATATAATTACAGGTTTATTCTCTTTGAATCAGAATGGGTTCAACGTTTTAACGTAGATAACAATAACAAAAACACATTAAATATACTAAAAAAGTTAAACAATCTCTTGATCTCTATTAATGGCTTCAGCGTGTTTTTTAGCTTTTAATCTTAAGTCAGCTATACTGGAGTTTTTGGTTAATAGTCTATCTTGATGTAGTGCTGCGAGAGCAGCTAGACTGAGACCGCCAGGAGGATATGGTGCAGGGCACAGTACACCTCTTCCCATGGCTACTGCATAATGTAACTGCAATAAATATACATTTTTCTCTGACAAAAAAATACAGTACAAGACGCTAACTACTTTTAAACTACTATGATTTAAAATAAAATAACAAAAAAAAAAATACTTTTTTATTTTCATTTTCAAAACCAAATCCAAATATTTGAAATTTAATTATAATTGATGTGATATATTATCGATTTATTCGTCATTGAATTATGTTTGATATGAGTAGACTTGGGTAGTATTCCGAATACTTTTTAAGTATTTTAAATACTTTTTAAATACTTTTTTTGAAAATATTCAATAAAGTATTTTGAATACTGTATTTCGAATACCGTTAAATCATCTTTTTTTTAAATGATTTTATTACTTCTCCGTCGTATCTTGTATAAGCTAATATCAGGTATTTATTATTGTTGTAATCCATAAACTATAACAGTTATATAATATAAAAATATAATAAAATAACATATATTTAGCCTACAATTCCAAATATTTCTGTTGAGTGAACATCTTTTATTTTTATAGTATGAAAACTAGAAGTATTTTAAAAGTATTCGGAATACTTTTGAAGTATTCTAAATAATGTATTCGGAATATAATTTGTATAAAGTATTTGAATACATATTCGGAATACTATTTTTTGTAAGTATTCGAGTATTTATTCTAAATACTTTTAAAAAGTATTTTACCTAAGTCTGGATATGAGAGACTAACAATTACCTGTTGTGCGGCAGTCAAGATTGCTGGGTCGAATGCAGAAAATGCAGCGGCGGCTGCAGCTGAAGAATTGAACTGCAATTGCGGCAGCCTTGGTACATTTACATAGGGCGCCACTCGACATGGTTCTAGAGGCGTGGATACGTTCTGATGCAACATTAGACCTGTGAATTTGACCAATAACAAGATATCCAAGGGCTTGATTGAGTAGTGGTAGGAGTGGATAAACAAGAGAATAGTAATATTATACTATTATAGTTGAATCGATGATTGCAAAAACATCACTAGTCACATACTTTATGAAAATGAAATATAAATAAAAACGTATACAAGTCATGTGTTTTTACTATAGGTACTTATCTCAATTTCATGAAATATGTGACTCATGACGTTTCTGTAATCATCGACTTAGTTTAAAGAATATACGAATATGTAATATAATATATAATAATAATATATAATATAATATTTGAATATAAATACATGGTTTATTGTTAATTAGAACAAAAGTCAATAATAAAAATTTTTTCGAATTATATGGCACAAATCAATTTTTATACAAGTGTTATTTTTTTTTATATTTAATATCAAATTGCAGGGAACTGCGGGTAACGCAATACGTCACCGCAACCCGGTCTCATTTATAAAATAAACGAAAACATTAAAGTAATTTATATTTAATTAGTTATATGTTTTTATTAGTTAATAACATAGTTATTACATACAATACAGTTGTACCTAGTATTATACCCATGACCGTATCTGGGGGGGGGGGGTCCAGAGTATCTAGAGTATCTATCATAAATATTTTCAGTCAAAAATGACTTAAGCTCCAATTAACCATTGATTGCTTTTAGTTTTATAGTATCATAATATCATATGAAAATATGATATCAATTTTAATAAAAGAAGATTAAATCTTTTTCTGTTTTATTTTTAACCAAATATCATAAGTTAAAATCTAAATTCAATAAAATTACAATATAACTTTTTTTGACCTTTCCCAAAAAAAATTTCTAGATACGGCCTTGATTATACCTACTGCATAAAAATTATGTAATTTATTCTTCTTGATAGTAATCTCTGTGCAATGTAAATATTTTTGATAAAGCAGAAGATTTAGATACTATAAAACTTATGCTTTTATTTTTAAAACATGTCTTATAACCGGCAACTACCTCCCAATTATCCCAGAATTGATACGTTTAAATGTCATTCTGCATAGTTATAACATATCAATGCATTACATAATAAATAACTTAAATTAGCTGATAATTGTAATCTTCGAATTTAAAACGAAATCTAGTGCTTATTTTAACTAAAAAATATTTGAAAATAATACAATTTGACGAAAATCTGTCTGATGAAATAGAGTACTACAATCGGATGATACTATAGTAGAACTATAGTTCTGTATTTCAGTATTTGTACTTTTTAACTTCTTATTTATTTTAATTTAAAAGTAATAAAATATCATCGAAATCGAAAAAAAAAAATTTTAAACGAATATTGGTGTTGTAATTACAGTACGCATTATCACTGTATTATATACTTTGTATTTTATAATTCAGCATCATATATTTATAATTAAGTATCTTAATTTTTTTTTATCAATTTATAAAAATAGCTCAAAGCCAAAACTAACGACAGAGAAATTTAGACAGAATTGAAATACAGTTAGTAAACAGTAGTCAGAGTTTTACAATAGTTAAACAAAGAGTTGTTAATCAAATCGTTTTCATGAAGTTACTTATTATTTACTTTAAAGACTGTTATGGGTGTATTTTATTTTTAAAATGATTTCATAAAAATATTTATCATTTCTACCTTGCGAAGAATAATAAAAAACAAGTACTACCGTAGAAATTATGAATTTATGGTAAGAAATTTTTATAATTTAATCATTTTAATTATAAAAGATATTCAATTTAATGTTTCTGTATGATTTTCGGACCTACAAAGCAGAATTCTCATATAGTCAGCCATTGCTTTTTAATCACGATACGGCTTACCTGACGAAAGCCATTAAAAACAAAAAATTAAATACAAAATTGTTTTAACAGAATTAATATCTTCAATATTATCGATATATATTTAATATTACCTAAAAAAATAATTACTCTTCAAGTCCATAAAAATCATACACATATTCCTATGCAGTACAGAGCATATTACGTGTATTATACAGTTAATTATTATTCATACAAGACAGTCAATCAGTGCTATTGATTGCAAAAATAAGGGTATACACGTATGTGGATGTGTGCGCGTGTATGAGAGTTTTACACGGATAAGAGAGATTACAAATAATCTGTATCTGTATACACATATGTATTATATGTTCGTATTGCTTAATCAAGTTAAGTGTGTTCCGCGCAACGAGTGATTGTCACCCGATTGCACCCCAGTGAGCGATTAGAAGACTCTAGAGTCTCTCTCTCTGTTAGACTAAACGGTATGAACCCATATGGGGGCGTGCGACCAACCCTCAGGGGTTTGGAAAACCGACGATGACGTCCGTCGATGTTTTTTTTATTCGATTAAGCGCGCGGCACACTGGTCTGCTGTACGATTCACGACGTATTTACACGGACGGACGCGAACGGACAATCGGAATACGACGACGACGATTTGTATTATTGCAATATACATACAAACATAAATACGTAGTAGTGATTCACTGTTTTACTCGCCCTTTTTATGTCGCCGTCGTTGTTATTATTATTATTATTATTATTATTACGGCTATTGCGTACCGTCCCTTCAGATACGTGTATATAAATAATATATAACAAGTCGCGCCCTATAAGCCTTTGACCCCAAACTCGCATTGCAGATTTCGTATAATTCATTAACTATCGTCGTCGTCGTCGTCGTTCTTTCCCTCCTCCTCTCATTCTAAAAAAAAAAAAATACTAAAATTATATATTATTGATATTAATGACTGAACATAAAACGTGTTGCGGTACGTTAATCACGTTTGTTCATACGTATATGTATGGGTGTGTGGGTCGACATATAAATCCCCCGTCGGACATTAAAATAAAATTATTCTTTTTTTATTAGATACGAATCTTATTCAAAGCTGTTTGTACCGACAACACTGCAGGTCTTGAGGTTTTCGGATGTGCATAATATTATATTATTGTTTACTTTTTGATTCAAGAATATACGCGCAGAATATAAAGCAGCAAGACGAACTATAGTCCCATCATCGTTGTAATATTCATAAATAGTCGACAAAATATTCACACCCGCAATGGCCGTATTTAATAATAATCATCTACATAGCATTTATGATTCTTGTTGTATTTGATTGTCACGCCAACGATTCGCTTTTCAATCTTCAAAATTTAATATCACATTAAAATATGAAATATTTTTTATGAGTAATGTATTGAGTTATGACTCATGACTTATGATATATACATTGATAATATTGTACAACATTTTTTAAAAACAGATTTAAGACTTTAATTTAAAAAGAAAACGATTTTATCGATTTTATTTAACAATTTTGTCTTGGAATCTTATTATTTTTCTATTTATTGTCTGTTGTGAAATTGAATTAATAATTTTTCCCTTATTATTTGATAACATCTCATACATGTACCAGATACATTGTACCTATTTTCAGACTTTTCTTTGCAGCATAACCTCTCTATAAATATATACGACCTTTTTATACTATTATTACAATGTCAGAGTAGTCTTAATTTTACAACATTGTAAAACTTAAAATAATATACCATATTTAAAATAATGATAATATTATAAACAGTGAATAGCGTGTAAAAATATATAATATATAACTGAGTCTTGATAACTAGAAGTAGGGGTGGATAAAAAAAAATTGAAGATTTTTTTTAATTTAACTTAAATGTATATTCTTACTAAAAGTTCAAAGTAATTAATAATTCATAGAAAAAATTAATTTTCTTTGTGGGCATAACAAATTATATAATAAATAACTGTTACCCGCTTGGATTTTTTTGTTTGGGGTGGATTAATATGGCAAACAGCACAACTGTTTAGGGTGCACATTTTTGAGAGTTCAATTATATTACGCAATCTTTTTTTTATTTTATTTTATATTTTAAATACATCATGTCATTTTTGGTACCTACCATAAAAAAATTATAAACAGAAGTTAAAAATATAATTCAATAAAGATAATCAAAGTTGTTAATAGCATTATTAAATTTTTTTAAATTTGGTTTTTTTTTAAAACTTTCTTTTTTCATTTTTTCATTTTATATAAAGTTGGTAGTAAATATTTTACAGTTTAAATGACAATTATGTACAATTTTAAACAATTAGAAAAATTAAAAATGTACCTTTATGCATTTGACTTTCATGTTTTCGACATTTGGCCCGTCTGTTTTGAAACCATACCTAAAAAAAATAATATAATTATAATAATAGTTAATACTTCAATAACTTATACTTTATTAACTCAATCAATTGATTATAACTAAACAAAACTATTTAAATGTACACTAATTTTAGATTACACTAAATCGTTAGTAATCTTTATATTAAATATTAACTGTTTGGCAAATTAACTCGAATATAATTACATTGTTATATACATACGAGTATATACATAATTACTTTTAAAAAACTTATAGTTACACATTTACAGTCGTTTTAATAGATTCGAAGATTATTAGTGTCTACAAAAAGCACACATTTTATTAAAATATTTTGAAACTATGATATGCCTTTAAAATGTTTACACAAGTACTTATTATATGATTAAAATCAACACAATAATTGTTTATAAAATAAAAATTAAATAATTAATATCGCTCAGTTGAAATTCATAGAAATATACAATTTTATCAACATTTAATTTTGTAAAACGTTTATAAAACTTTTTTACTGTTCTCCACTATTTTTTTTTTTTAAGAAATTCTTGAACCAATTTAAAAACCCTTTTTTTTAACAACAATACACCTGCCATCTATAAACGCCATTAAGCAATACATCAAGTGACCAATTGCAAGTCTTGAGTATAAAAATTTAAAGTTTCATTCATTTTAGACTGTTAAAATGTAGTAGATTTTCCTTATTTTTATCATTTTGTCAAAATGTATAAATCAATGTATTCGAACGCTTCTATAAATATTTTTTTGAAATAAACCTAAATTTTTTATTAATCAGTAAGAGATATATAAACGGAGTTTTGTATTAAATTTTAAAATTAATATAAGATAACATGAAATTTAAATAATCTTTAAATAGATTAAAGAGATTAAATAGTAAACGATGATATCAGTAATTTAGTAAAAATTTTAAGTCACTACAATTATTATTTCTTGAGTTTCAATAAAAACAAAAGTTCAATTTTGTCGAAAATCGATATGTTATGAATTTGGTCATTTTTACATAACTTGTCGTCAATTGTTCGCAATTAACTATTTGGCAATTCATGAAATTACTTCCATTAAAGTATCAACTAGAATCCATTTTCTACCTTATACTATTTATTAGTTGATGATCGAAGCAATCCTTCTGATCGAAATCTTGTACACAAACACAATAAAACACACATAATGCTAAACCAATACATTTGTCGTTTTACTCAAAATTTAAAATGTTAAAAGTATCTACATAATGAAATTTGTAAGCACAAAATAATTATATATTTTTAATGACTATTATAAAATGATTTGTTGATACGTGTAAATTATTTTTAGCAAATCTAATAGAGCCACATAAACTCATACCTATTATTTATTTAGTTAAAAGTATTTAGGTATTATTTAGATATTATGAATTTTATTTTGATTGAACAATATTCTAATGATTAAGTTAAAATTAATTTATTGAAAAAAAAAAAATAATAAAAAAGATTTGTTGAATTATTGAACTCACTTGTACTCTAGCTTCACTGAGACCAAGACGTTGACTGAGCTCTTCTCTCATAAATGCATCCGGGTAGTGAGTTTCATCAAAAAGTCTTTCGAGTTCGTTGAGCTGCTCTAGAGTGAAGTTGGTTCTACTTCGTCTTTGCTTATTGGACGGACCGTTTGACTGTTTATTGTTATTATTTTTTGACCCATCATAAGTTTGCCTGTAGTCTTCTATACTGTCTCCTTTAGGCTCTTTAAAATCTATAAAATTACATTTCTTCAATTTAATATATCATAAGAATAAAGAGTAAAATTGTCATAAATATATTAAGTATTTAGTACCTATTTATATCATAAAATAATAATCAATTATACCAACTAAATACAGGTATTAAGTTAAACAAAAAAATACACTTTTAGACAATTTTAATTTATTTTAATACAAGTTTAAATGTTTAATTTTTATAGATCTATCATATTATATCATAAGTTAAAACCTTACTTAAAAATATAAATATATAAAAAAACCTAACTTGCGTATTTATTCTTTGTGACCACTTGTTTATAAGTAAATAACGTTTTCAAAACTAACCTTTTAAATTACTTCAATAAAAATTAATTTAACGAACCTATAGGTAAACTTATAAGCATCTGAAGTAATAACATATTAATACATATTTTTTTGTTATATTTTGGAAGTATAGAAGGACCCACCATCTTCATATAAGGTACATCCCTCTATTAAACAAAAGTTTAAATATTACGCTAATAATTTCTAAGCATTCTAGGTTAGTCTGACTATAATAATACCGATAATCATTGTATAAAATTACACTAAATTGCAGTGTCTGCCTGGCTCTAAAGGGCCCAGGCAGGGTTAACCTAATCCAATCCCTATACTACAACATTTATTTATTACTCGTATATTGAAATTAAATATATCTTAAATATGTAAAATGGTCATTAAAATATATTACATATAGATTCTATATTTGTTATTTTAAATAAAAAAGAATAAAGTTAAAAATGTTCAACCTTTATAAAAAAAAAAAAAAAAAAAAAAAAACTATGCATGTATAAAATAAATACATTAAATAATATATATTATATCATATGAAAAGTCTTGTCGTTTCTTTTGACAATTTTTCTATGCCATCTATTAGTTTTATTTTATCTACATTTAAAGTAATATCTTTTTCTATAGCCATAAGCATTAGTGGTTCTAAATGTTGCTGATCGAGTGACGATCTTATTTTTGTTTTTATTACTTTAAGCTTAGAAAATACTCTTTCACAAGTGACTTGAGTTGATGGCAAGGCTATAGGTGAGTTGCAGCCCGACATGTCATTTACGTGTTAAAGACCGATGAATTGCGGCCCGGGAAATTTATTTATTTTCAATTTTGTGCCGGCAGTATCGGTAGTATCTTATCTAAAGTAGATACCATAACGTCAATAGTTCAAACTAAAAATATTACAGTGTTAGTCTGTTCACCACTTAGTATCTATATCTACGAAAACTAAAAATTCTGTTTGAGTGTGTTATACAGTTTATTATAAGTGCGTTATGGAGTTTGTAAATAGTGAAAAATCAAAACCAATTATTCTCTACGAAGGCTACAAATTTCGTTTCCACAAAACACTAAAAAACGATGTACAGCGGTGGCCTTGCAGTATCAAAAGTTGTAAGTGCTTTTTAAAATTAACTCCTTTAAATAAAATAGTTGACAGTAATACTAATCATAACCACAATAAAAACGACGAAAAAGTCCTGAATAGGCAAATATTAAGTAATTCTCTGAAAAGAAAAGCCATAGAAGACATTTTTTGCAAACCTTCAAAATTAATTCGTTCAGAATTGAAGAAAGGTGATATATCGACTTTGACAACGAATGATTTATCATTAATTCAATACAATGTTCATCGTGCCCGTTCATTTTTACACCCCCCTCTGCCAAAATGCATTAAAGAATTACATACTGCTTTAGAGTCTATGAATATCAAAACTAATATAGATGAGCCATTTTTGTTTATCAACGACAAAGAAAATTTTATAATTGGTTTTTCTACTACACAAAACAAAAGTGCTGTGCGATGTAAATAAATTTTACGTAGATAGAACTTCAAAAGCTGCCCTAAACACTTTTATCAACTTTTTACCATCCATGGCCTAAAAAATGATGTATATTTACCATTAGTGTTTTTTTTACTACCCGACAAGTGTAATACCACGTTCAAGTGTGCATTTTAACATTTAATTTGCCATTTCATGTCCATTGGTCTAACGTGCTCTCCTACTGAAGTTGTCATAGATTTTGAACAAGCTATCCACAGTGCTGTAGTGGAAGTCTTCCCTAATGCTAAAATAAGAGGATGTCGATTTCATCTAGTGCAAAGTTGGTGGAGGAAAATTCAAAGTTTAGGACTCACGAAAATATATAACACAAATACAGATGAAAGTTATTTTTTAAAATTTTTTTTTGGTTTGCCATTTTTGGATTTTGACAACGTCATTGTTTGTTTCACGGATGACTTTTTAGCAATACTGCCCGCTAAAGATGATCGGGTTGTACAATTTACCGACTATGTTTTCGAAAACTATATATCCTCGGATGCTATGTTTCCTCCAAATATTTGGGCACAGTTCTCTGCTATCTGTAACCGTACCACTAACGGCTGTAAAAGTTTTCATTCACACCTAAATTCATCGTTCTACTCTAGTCATCCTAATATCTATAATTTTATTGATGTGTTAGTAGAAATTCAATCAGAAACATATATCAAATGTAGAAGCAATGGAATAAAAACGAAAAAAATATGTGAAAAAGAAGCATTTATAAGACAACAGATGACAAAGCTAGCACAAAAAGAAATAGAGCAGTTTGATTTCGTCAAATCATTAAGTTTTAAGTTTTTGCCCATCCAATAAATATATATATTTTTACATATTTTACATAAATAAAAAAAACAAATTTTTGGGAGACGACTCAGCCAACCTCCTCGTGGTGTCTTCTGGGTAACACTGATAGGCTGATATGAAGTGATAAATAAAATGTAAAGTGTGGCCGCAACTCGTACGTCTGTTTCATAAACACGGGCCATAATTCGTACGTTATTTAGGGATCGGGCCGCAACTCACCAACACCGGATGGCAATAGCATTATATATTTAAAAACCTGATTCAAATTATTGTACATACCAGAATAACAAGATAGTTGGGTAATAATTTTAAAAGCATATGCTATACATTTCCAATAGGTATTACAATTTATCGAATCAAGTTCATCTTCTGAATCAAATGTCACTATTTCATCTATAATATAACCTTCACCATCATTATCATTCATTATGCCATGTTTTTTTGGAATAATATTAAAATAATAAGAGGCAAATTGTTTTTATTCAAGTAATACAGTATATCTATCAACATCAGATCACTTGGTTACAGTTATCAAGATATCCATAGCATATTCTTCAAACTTTTTGATGTATTCGAATATTTTTGGATCTAACCATTTACATCCTTTAATATATTTTCATTTGGAATTAATCGTTCTTCAATACTATTCAATATCAAGATCATTCATCCATAATAATTATAATTTATATTTATCGAACTACAGCACAATTATAAAACCTGACTAAGATAATAAGAAGTACGATTTATTTATTCTAACTATAGATTTAAAAATTAAAAGTTAAAATACTTTACGACCATGTTTTCCTCGTAATTATTATATCCAAACGTTTCGTTGCATTTAAATATACATATAAAAAAAAAAAAAGACGGGGCCCAGGCAGCGATTGCTGTCTAGCTGCCTTGGCCAGGCCGACACTGCTAAACTGTAACTTGTACTCGTATGTTTAGACAGAAGAAAAATAATACACTTTAATACTGTATTTTAATATATCAGTGCTTCATAAAATATAATGGCAGTTATATCTAGTAAAATATTATGTCATTAGTTAATTTCATCATTATAACTACTCTAATAATGTACCAGATTATTACTTTTTATTTATTTTACATTGAAAAATAAGTAAAATATGATAATTTGATTCATAATATGTATAGTATTCGATTTTCAATGTACTTTATTTTCTAACAATTACTTTATTATTGTCAATAATAATAATTGATTACGGTTTTTATTACGACATTTTCCCCGTAGATTAAGATTTAAGTACCAGTTACTAGAGGGGTTTGTGATAAAAAAGAAACAATATTAATTCGAATATGTGCATTTGATACCATTTGGAAAATTAAACACGCGCACAACATTGCTATTAAAAGCTTAACGTAATCGTTTTCTTTATTTCATTATTCATTTCCATTTTATACTTACACTTTCTCAGTCATTCTCTCTCTCTCTCTCTCTCTGTCTCTCTTTCAACAAATTCCTTTCCTCCCTATTTTTACACTGTGATTTGCAGCTACTTAAATAGGTCTAACAAATTAATGGGGTTCCGCCTATCAAAACGATTACATTCAAAACGTATTTAGTAAAGTGTACCTGCATTTAATAGAGAGTATCACTGAATCGTTTAAGTACTATTTGTATGATATTACCATATATATTTGTTTTATTTACTAATGTTCTTCCTTGGGGTGCAATTATTATATCTATTATATATTGCGAACTATGATAATCGACTTATAATTTTACTTAGTAACAAAATTAATACAGAATAACAACCTATGTTAAATATTATTCAATAAAATGAAAATTCGTTAATTGTTTGTAATTGTAGTTAAAATTTATTTTAATTTTAAACAGAAAAAGAAAGTTTTTATCTATTTCTAAACAAATATTGTTTTAAATAAATTTTTGATGCTAAAATTAATACTTATCATGTATTTAAATGACTTAATGTACAGGCCAGTTTTTCAGTGTATCCATATAAAATATAATTGATAGAATAAATCATTCGAAATTTAATAAAAAAAAGTATTAATAAATTCTGATGGTTTTTTAATAGAAAAAAGTAAAATTTTCAAATTTTAATCTTTTTTATAGTTTTTTATTTTTAAAATGAATTTTTTATTATATTAAATATTTTCACAGATTTTCATATGTTTTTGCATAATATTTCTACTTAGCTTATTTTATAAATAATATTGTTGTTGTATAATTCCTGTTGTGTTAAAATATATTCAATTATTTTAGGTTCATTGAAATTTTTATTAAATTTAGAATTTAATTTATAAAACAATAACAGTTCTTAAAATAATGACTCATTTATATTAAATATAATTAATTA